GCCAACGCCAACGCAACGCCAAAGTTCTATGTGGACGGGCCTTAACATTCGCGAATGCGAACTATCTGGACTGGTTTTATGCTTCACGTTCGCGAAGGAGAATCAATACAGAATATTTGATTCGTTCACCTTCGAGTATAAAATCATAAATGTATGTTCGCGAAGATTCATATATGAATATTTCCGAACCCTGCTCAGAAGTACTAGTTTATGTATTATTAAAAGACTATACTTATATCTCATTATAAGTAATGATCAGGGAACGGATTTTTAGGACCTAAAAACTTATAAAAAAGGCAAAATAAAATACCGAAATAGGCTGGAAAAGGCAAAATCAAATAGCGAAAAAGGCAGGAAAAGGCAGTAGGTACTGCAAAAAAGGCAAAAAAAGGCAAAACAAAATAGCGAAAAAGGCAGGAAAAGGCACTTGGTGTTGCAAAAAAAGCAACATAAGGTACTAAAAAAAGACAGCAAATACAAAGAACAATCAAAAAATACATTTATTTTAGAAATGTTTATATTACAAGTAAAAAGAGAAAAACTATGAACTAGTTTAATTATATGAAAAAATTGTACTTTGAATCTTTGACTATTTTATCCTTTCGAGTTTCTAACTCATAAAACTTTAATCTGAATAGTTGTAGTAACATTGAACCACAAGATGCATTTTGAAGTTTTCTGGCAGCATTTTCATTCGATTTTCGCGAAGAAAAGCCTTGATTGTACTAAATGTGCGCTCGACGTAAGTTGAAACAAGTAGAGCCCAATTTAAATACGGAACGCTTGAAACGTTCATATTATCAGGAATAAGTGCACTTTCCTCGCCCTTTTCAATTTTGTCCACATCCCTTATTGTCTCCAAGCCTACGTTAGCTGAGAGAACGGCTTTGAATTTTTCCAACACCAATTTGGCAAGAGGTCCCTGTGCTTTTATAAGCCGCATGGGCATGTGTATATTTTTTAATCTTAAAAAAAAATTGTAAATGCTATAATCACTTTTTTAATGGTAGAAAAGGCAAAAAAAGGCAGCATCAAATGTGTATATAAGGAATCAGGGAAAGCTAAATCGTGGACATTCTTAATCGAATATACTCTATCCCTTTAGCAGAAAAAAAGGCAATTTCCATAAAATCCGTTCCCTGGTAATGATATTTTTACAACGCTTTTATCAACTTGCAATGTTCATACCACCATATACTATAGCTCTGATCCAGTACTCCATGAACTTACAGGATTTTACACGAACTTGCGGGAAGTTGCAGGAAAAATGTTCCCGTACTCCAAAATTATCCAAAATCCTGAAATTGAGAGCGACTTTTGGAGAGTTGTGTAGAGAGTGAAGTTGCAAGATTTTACCCGAACTTTTTCTTCTGGTAAAATCAAGAAAAGTGTCAAGCAATCACTGGTTGACGTTTTTACAGGAAAAATGGTTGTTTTGTTCCCGTACTTTTTGTTGCTACTCACTTTTTACTCTCACTTCAGAGAGTAATTTTGCTGTTTGACAGTTTTACAGGATTTTTCACGAAAAGCATTGGATCAGAGCTTATAAATATAGTAAAGGTATTTATGGCAAACCTAGTCTAGATATCAACCTCGTCGTAGGTATCATATCAAAGGCATACAATTAGAAAAACTCTAGAGATAGATGTCGCCTCGCCAGAAGAAGTCAAAAATATGCACTACATACGCTATAGCGGAATGGACGACACGTCATTTCTTTAAATGAAATTAATTGCTGCTATATAAATGTATGTACATATGTAGGCATATACTAAATGTGAGCAAACAACATTTTGCTTGCATAGTCTTCTGATCTCTTTTCACTGCAAGTTGAATTATTTTAGTATCTATTGCAAAATTTTATACAGACAAGACTAAAAAGTATAAAATAAATTATAAAAGAAACTTTTTAATGGACGACGCTTTTATAAATGGACTAAAATTAGAAACTAATATTTCCCAGTCCAATAGAACTCTTTTTGATAACTTTTGATTTTGAAATTTTAGCAAAAGTCATTATAAATAATTTATGAGATTGAAAATGAAAAGCGTGGGGCGCATGTAATAGGACTGATTTGAAATTGAAGAGTAATATATGTATGTATGTGGGTATATTAATAACGACCGCTTAAAATGGATCTCAAATTTGTACTTTCGCTGTAGAAATTTTAGGTCTATGTTATGTATGTTGTTTGAATGTTGTCAATTAAATCTAATGCTTTGTATTGCATGCGCTCCACGATTTTACTACGCTTGTTGCAATGTTGTATTTGCAGCCGCTCTGAATGTTGTATGTCCAGACCACCATTTATACTAGCTGCATTTTTTTTTTGTAAGCGAGCGACAAAAGAACGCTCAACGCGGGTAAAGATTCTTTTTAGCCTTAACCTTTAACTATGGAGGTGAATTTTTTGCACATAGTCTATGACCTGGTGGTAAATTTTACCCCTTCGAATTTTAGTTAGAAATTTGAATACAAATTATAATTATTTTGTCTTTTAAACTAAGCTACTAGATTTTTAAGGTAAAATAAATACAAAATTTTATTTTTTCTTTTAAAATCAACAAAAGTCCCACTTTATTTCACAAAGCTTTTATTATTCACAAGAACAAAAACATCACGTAGTAAACTTATAAAAAAGTGTAAAATAAAAATTAATCTAAAGCTTAAAGGGCATCTCAAGGCGAATTCATATAAGGTGGTATTGACTCAACAAATACAACAATTACTTGTATTTTGTTTTTGCTTTTAGCGGGTCATTGTCAAATTTCAGCAATTCTCCCCCGAATGAAAAAGAGCGACATAAAATGCGAACACTCTCACGTTTTCACTCACTCACTAGCAAAATATAAAATTTTGACAATCAAACGCTACTCACAGCTGATTAAACAACACCACCTTATATAAATACGCCTTGGGGCATCTTTTCATAGCAAAAAATATATATCTAAAGAAATACAAGAGATCATATATAAATTTTTTTGCGTTCGCTTTTAATAAAACCACTCGCGTTTTATATTGAAAACGTTATAAATGTTTTTATTTTAAGTAAACTTAATTAGGTATGTGTACATATACGTACGTAAAAATTCGGTGGCCGTTTTCCCGTGTGCGCTCGGTTAGACGGTTGATATTGGAGTGTTCTTCCTTTCTTCACTTTCTTTTTGCAGTAGCCGAAATACCGCAGGGAGAAGGCAACTATGAAGCGGGGATAGTATTAGGGCGCACACATCATTTTAATCGGAAGATTAAACACTGCCCCCCCTGCAGAAACGTGCTGAATAGGGCGTTTTGCAGTGTCCCAGGTGTCTGGATGATGGCAGCCATGATTCCTTAGCTGGATAGTGCGAGCGACCTTGCTTGTCTGGGTATATCGTCTCTTTGCTTTTGTTGAACCGTTCTGCAATTAGAAAATACGAAACATAATGCAGAAGGCGGTGTTTGCTTTGCGGCCTAATCTCTTTAATTATTGGGGAATAACAGACTTTATTATTGAAAGCTCAGGGGATGGAGCTAGATGTTTTGAGTTAGTGGGGTCTTATTTGTTGCCCTTTGTTTTCAAAGTTTTGCGTCTTACAGGGTGCTCATGGGTTAGAGCTTATGGCATTAGGGTCTTATTTATTGCCCTCTATTTTCAAAGTTTGGCGGCGGAACCGCTTATCACCCAACCAAATATAGTTTTTTGTGCTAGTACATTATTATTTATTTTTCGGGCTCCGGGTTGGAGAATTTGTGGAAGTATGTCGCTTCCAATAACCAGATCTATGGGTGCAAGTTTGCTGAAGTGGGCGTCAGCTAGTTCATGGGTATTGAACTCTTTGATACATATACGACTTATAGGGGAAGTCGGTATTTGCTGCGTTAATTGCTTGAGTATCACAGCTTGGGTATTTATCTTCCGCTTTGACTTGCGGGCAATTATACTTAGTTCACATACGTTCTAAGTGCGTTTTGAGTTACATCCACCAATTGTAACTACTTCGAACTGTGAGTGTTCATTTTCTTTGGCAATTTGGAGCGAGTTAACATGCGCGGAGTTTGAGCAGGTGGGTTGCTTTTCCGGCTTGAAGCTTGTTAACTCTTGGGGGCAATCTTTGGTGATCGCATGCGCTGTGCTGTGTTGCGCTATTACTTTTTGAGTTTGCGTATTGGTTGGGTGCTGATCATAGGGGCTCACTTGCTCTTTATTTGGTGGGGCTATGGTCTTTTGGGTATGACCAGAGCTTGCATGTATCTGCCGATCGGGGTTGATCGGTTTCTTAATATTTTCTTTTATGGTGTTCTTCTTGGAATGGCTTCTGGATGAGTGAACATGCAGTAAGGAGTTATGTCTTTTCTGGCTATACATGCATGCGAATGGTGACTTGCACTCTGCCGAGCAATGACTGAAAGCAAGGCAGTTTGAACACAATTTATGAGTTTTAACAAATTTTATGCGTCTTTGTATTGCGAATTTTTGAAATATGGGGTATTTTTTCATCGGATGTGGGGTGTTGCATAAATAACAGGAAAACACCGTTTTTCGGAATTTGTATAAAAGGATTTTGTTTTACTGTGGGATTTTATTAGAGCAGAAGTCTTGCTTACGTGTTTTTGGAATTTCATTTCTACCCTTTCTAACACTTGAAATCTGGACGTTAGGAATTCGTCCATTTGAGACCATGGGGGAAGATTTTTTTTGGAGGGCATTGATCGCTCCCAAAGTATTCCGGTATCTTTGGGCAATTTGGATACGCATATATGTATAAGAATTAGGTCCCAGCTGTCTGTCAAAACCTTTTGAGTATTTAAAATGGACAGACATGTTTTTATTTTGCTTTGGAGATCAATAATTTGTTGGCTATCATCTTTGTGAACACTAGGCAGATTCATTAGAACTTGGATTTGGTTATCCACTAGTATGCGTTTATTTTCGTAACGCTCGCTTAATGCTTGCCATGCCAGGTCGAAATTTTCGTCGCTAAGAGGGAATTGCTTGACGATTTGACCGGCTTGCCCTTTTGTTTTATACCGGAGGTGGTATAATTTCTGCGCGGATGATAATTTGGGGTGGTTTATGTAGACGGCGGTAAACATATCTCGGAAAGATTGCCATTCTTCATAACCACCGTAGAAAATCTCTGTATCACATGGCGGGAGTTGCAGATACATGTGAGGATTTTCATCTGTGTGCGAATTCTGTGCTTCTCGGGTGTGAGAGCTTGGGGGACTTATAGCTCGGATCAATTTGAGTTGATCTAAGTTCTTCGCTTTAGTCATTTCATAAGATTCAATACTAAATTGATACTTGCCTTCCGCCAACGCCAAAAAATTATCTGGAAGGTCTTTCTCATCTTTTGGGAAAAGTGAGTCATATGCGGCTTGTAACGAGACTCTTTGAATTCCTCTATGGGAGAAGAGGTGAGTCTGGCACAATATCTCATAAAGCCATCATTTTCTATATTAAATTTTTGCGCACACGGGTCATGAGATTTTCTTTTTTCTGATTTCTTTGGTTCGGCAGAAGTCTGAAGCTTTTCAAAGATTTTGGCGGGGGTTTTCGAACTATTGTTGGGGCTTTGTTCAGCTGGCATTTTGAATATTTGAAGATTAATTTATATCTTGATATGTAAAGGAGGCTCTTAGTTGACCAAATTGTGGTTAATTGTGTTTTTGTGGACTGTACGTATTTTTGTGACCAGTGAATTTTACTACTGGGTTTTATTTTTTATTTTCGTGTTATATATATTTATATATATTTTTTCAATGTGGTTGCAGAGTGTTCCTTTTTGTCAGTATATAGATATTTTTGGGAAATGGTAAATTTGCTGCTGGGGTATTACCACCAAATTTACTGCTGGGTTAACTTGCTTAATATGTGTACTTATGTATATATGAATGTAGATGTATATAACGGCAGCGCAATTGTTTCACTGAGTATTGAAGATGCAAGCGTTTGTAAGTATGTATGATGTTTATCTATATCTACACTTCTATCTATACTTCTATACTAATTATATAAAGAGAAGTCCCTTTTTTGTAACAGGTAATCTCACGAACGGCTGGTTCGATTTTCATGAAATTTTGTATACAAATAGCTTTCGGTAACCACCATGTTTTAGGATAAAAAAATTTTACTTTTTTTCGGGTAGGTGGCCCAGGGACCGGTCTATTCGAAAAGATCTTATTATAGTCCGATTTGCTTAAAATTTAGTACGTAAGTAGCTTTTTAGCATATATTAGCAAATATGACCCATTTTTCCGGGAAGTGGTCCAGGGACCGATCTATTCGAAAAAATCGAATTTAAGGTCCGATTTGCTTAAAATTCGGTGCGCAGATAGCTTTTTAGCATGTATTAGCATATGTGAATTTTTTTCCGAGAAGTGGACCAGGGACCGATCTATTCCAAAAAAATCGCATTTATGGTCCGATTTGCTTAAATTTCGGTACGTAAGTAGTTTTTTAGCATATATGATCCATTTTGTCCGAGAAGTCGACCAGGGACCGATCTGTTCGAAGAAATCGTATTTATGGTCCGATTTGCTTAAAATTCGGTACGTAGATAGTTTTTTAGCATATATTAGCATATATGATCCATTTTGTCCGAGAAGTCGACCAGGGACCAATCTGTTCGAAGAAATCGTATTTATGGTCCGATTTGCTTCCTGGTCCGATTTGATTCCTGTTTTCCAATTTTCATGCAATTTTGAATATAAATAGCTTTAAGTAATCAGAAACAACGGATACTGTCAAAATATAATTATAATATATAATATATCTCAACTATTTTATATTTAGAAAGCCGTTTGTTAGTTTTCGCAAGGCTCGAGAGCGGCTGAACCGATTTTTTTTAAACTGCCACCTGCCGCACGTGTCCCAAGGATGGTTTTAGGCTGAAAAAAATCTATATGTAAAGGGGGCGTGGCACTTCCCATACAAACCGAATTTCTCATGCTACATATCTCTGAAAGTGTGCATGGTAGAGTTTTGGAAATTGGTATGGAGATATACGAAATCAATCGCATACCCTTGGAGAAAAATTTTAGCTATAGTAACATATATATAGTGTGACATCTCCCATACAAACCGAATTTTTCATACTGCTTATCTCTGGAAATTTTTTGGTAGAGTAATAGAGTTTTGTATGGAGATGTACCAAATAAATCGCATACTCTTGGAGAAAAATTGGAACTATTGGAAAAAGAGGGCGTGGCATCTTCCATACAAACCGAATTATTCATACTGCCTATCTTTGGAAGTGTTCATGGTAGAGTTCTGGAACTTGGTATGGAGATATACGAAATCAATCGCATACTCATGAAGAAAGAGGGCAGCTGTTGGAAAGGGGGGCGTGGCTCCTCCCATATAAATCGAGTTTTTATACTGCATATCTCTGAAAGTTTTCATGGTACAGTACTGGAACTTCGTATGGAGATATCTATATATGTGACCTGGTCTACGAAAAGGGAGCTTACGTGCGAAAACTAGTTTTCTGTGAAAAAGCTGTTAAAAGTAAGCAACTCGTTTCGTCAGTTTCTCATTATCTCGTTAATTGTTCTCCGCGCCGGACGTCCAGTAAGTGTTGTTGTTGGTCCAGTAAGTGTTGTTGTTGGTCCAGTAAGTGTTGTTTTTGGTCGGAATATTATTATAGTTCATCGTGTAAGTTGCTAGTGTGGAACATTTAAAAAAGTAACACTGAAGAAGTGACGTTTACTGTTTCTGTTTCTACATTTTTAGTACACTTCTAAGCAAGTTAGGATTTTCTGCTTTTCACCACGTGAAAAAGCATCTGATCTTCCATCCGAATCAACCAAAAAGCGAAAATTGATTTTTTGACACCTAAGCCCCCTTTCCGTAGACCAGGTCACATATAGTTGAAATCAAGCCCGTACCCATGGAGAAAATTTGGGCTATTTGAAAAGGGGTGTGAGGGCTACAAAGCTACCTTTAGCTATCTTTGAATGCATTTTTTTATTCTCCTGTAGGTGTGTTTGTGAGTGAAATCCTCCTAAATGGTTGTACGGATTTTAACGAAACTTTTTGTGTATTTGAGTGGGTCTCTGGATGGTTTAGTTTCACAATTTAATCCGACAGTTGGCGCTGTAGTTGAGTTATTACTAAAAATCTTATTTATGATCCGATTTGGCTAATGTTTTAAATATGTATGCAATACTATTGCAAAAACGTGCTGCCAAGTGGTGCTGAAGTCGAGGTATTACTAAAAATAGCCAAGTGAGAAAAGGGGCCGTGAAGGTCAGATTAAATCGACCTGTTGCACCATTGAGTATATCGACGGTCCTGCATTGCAATTGGCCCAATGGATGTGATTTTCCAATACTATTATGCGTTCAAACTTTTAAGGTATTTCGTCTGAAATAAGTGTATGTATATTGCATTTCTGTAGAACAATGATTCGCACCCATTTTGAAATTGCCACCTACTATACTGTAAAGCTTCTAGGACATTCACTATAGAACCGGGTCATTGTTGCCGCCAGGGAGTGAAGAGGAAAAAATTTATTTCGCTTTGCAAATAACCGTGCTATGAAATGCCGCACAACTGGAGAATTTCAAGAACGGATATAACACTTTCCTTAAGTTATTTAAAGCGGCAAATGACCACCAAACCTTAATCTTAGCAGACAAATGTGCCAATGAAAATCGTAAACGTGAATTGTTGGTGAAAATGTTGGACCAAAAATTTTCAATAAAATATATAAGAATTTTGGGCGGGATGAAGTTCGCCGGGTCTGCTAGTACGTATATATGTACGTACGATTATGCGAAAACTTCAGAAAAACAAAGTTCTGTAAATGACCAACCAATAGTTAGTACTGCTGGGAGCGCAGAATCTATATGTATGTATGTATGTACCTATGGTTGTGCAGTTGCAGTATACTGAGAGCTGCACTGCTTGTGGGGGCGAAAAATAGGCGCAAAACGTAAGCCAAAAATATTTATTAGCAAGTAAGAATGGCGCATAGTCATAGTCATATTTAGTACTCAACTAAGTCGAAACTATTCTAAGTCACAACTAAAGCTATTCATAGTCGCCTTAGTTTCGACTTTTCTGGCTAAGTACCAGCTTAAAATTTAGTTTCGGCTGCAGCTGCAACTAAGTCGTAACTAGGAAGAAGTATTTTATCAAATTAAGGGAAAACAGACGAAATATGTAAAAATTAAGTTGGTAGAGGGTGATTTTGATAATATTGAATAATCTCCGTTTAAAATTTACAAAGATCGATCCATTTTAATCGGAAGATGAAATTAAATGCGTATTACAATTCGAATAAAGCTACATCACAATTTTATAACTGGA